ACATTTTTATTAACTGAAAGAAATAAAAACAGTAATTAAGAAGGTTTAAATGATTAGAAATAATGCTGTTTGTTTATAAGATCTAATCTATTGATCTAGTATTCTTCATTTTGTGTTCATGGATCTATTTTGAATATTTGGACTTGCTAGTCTGCTAAACAGTGTTAGCAAAAGTTGGGAGAAAACAGAAAAGTCAGTCGTTGTTCAACAATAACTCAATAAATTATTTCAAAAACTATTTCTTCTGGTGAGTATTTATTACCCAATCCAAAGCAACACTTTGGTGCTTTTTAATTCTGCACCAAAAAATTCACCGAAGTATGAAAAAACTCTATAAGTTATAAAAACGAAACAATCTTTAGCAAATAGAAACAAGAAAACACACTCTTACAAACAAATTAAAACAAACTGAATTAGACAAAGAAAAAAAAAGTCACAACACAATAAAACTAAACTTTGGTGAAAACCCCCCAAATCTATGAGTGTGCCTCTCCTGCAGCCTGGGTGAGTCAGCCTGAGTGACACCAGAACCCATGGAAACATGCAAACATGACAACAACCACGACAAAACACTTCAGCCTGTCAGTCTGTCCTCTTTCTGTGTCCACATCCGTCCCTGAATGTGTCTGAAGATCCTGACCAGGCTGGAGGTCAGCGCAGCGAGACCAGATGAGCACAGCTGATTGGATCATTACCTAAATTGTATTACTTTTATGTACCTTAAAAACAAACAGGAACATCGAGACATTTTTCTGCTTTTATTTCTCTGCTATGATTTCTTATTTTCATAATATTTCACTTTCAGTTCATCCTTTCATTTTGCTCAGTGTTTGAGGTTTGTATCTGTTTTGCCTTCGCAGTGATCTTATCGTTCTGGTTTATTCTTCCTGTTGGTTCAGTTTTAGATGTTGAGTTTATGTTTGTTCAGTTTGGTGTTTGTTTTTGTCTGTTGTCTTAGTCGATACCCAGCTGCTAGTCATTTTCTCATCTAGTCTCACTCGCTGCCCTCCCAGCTGCAGCTACTTACCACTGATTAGTTCCTTTGTCACCTTCCCTCCCTCCTCTGCATATCTACTTCTCAGACTCATTACTCTTCACTGGTTGCTCTCTCCATGTTTCTAGTTAGTTGATCCCCCACCACCCTTTGTTTTCATGACCCTTCCAGATCTTCTGATTCTGGGGATGCAGAACCAGAACCAGAACCAGAGCCAAACATGAAGCACCACTAATCTGGAACAAACTTCCAAAAAACTATAAAACAGCCGAAACAGAAAAGTCCAATGCAAGATATTGACATTCATAGCTGCAGTATAACTAGCTGTGTTCAAGGGGTGTGAATACTTTGTGAAGGTACCATACATCCGCCTCATCTACAGCTGACATCTTGTTTTCTTGATCTACGCTGCCATCACTAAAATCTAAAGAGCTCTCCTGGCCTTAGAGGATCCTTCTGTCTTATTTCGCAATATATCGCTTTTATTCCACCTACAAAAGTTCATTACTGGCTGCAGAAAAATCCTGGTGAGATTCTGCTACAAGGCCCGGTGGACTCCGGAGGAACCGACCGGAGCAAAATCACTTCAGTATTCCCACAGCTGTGGCTGCTTCACCCCACAGTCAGGCCAAAGTTAAGATTAATGTCGAGGGGTTAGGAGAACAGAATGAAAGAATGAATGACGCTGAACTGGTTTGAAAGCAACTGTTATTCCTCCTGTTTTGTCTTTACATCTGTGGCTCCTTCTGATAGCAGAGCTTGCTGACTCCTTTCCTATCCCTCCCAACCTCGTCTGTTTATTTTGTGTGTTTATTGCTGCAGAGTGCAGTTGTGGACCAGACAAGGAGGAGAACCTTTCTATAAAAGCCCGTTTATATGGCCATTTAGAATTTACAGGGGAAAAAACTTCTTCCTTTGTCTCTCTTGCGGCTGCAGTACGTGAAATCCCCTACTATTGCGTCCTGTGAACTTTCTGTTCAGAAAGTCCAGTAAAAGGGTTTGATGTTCTGCAGCATTTATCCAGAATGCATCCATCAACCAGGCGTGGCATCAATCTGTGACTGACATCAACAGCCTGGAAAGGGAAGAGAATTTCCAAAACAACATGTTGCAGTACACTTATTATTCTTCAGATTCTTCTTCTTATTTCCTCTGTTGTCTAAGCTTTAGTTTTATCAATAGAGTTTTGTGATGCTTGTGATTCAGATCTTTAGATTTTTCTTTTTTTTTTTTTTAGTGAAAATGCCACAAAATATTTCCTAATATGACAGTCTTGATATTTTTAGAAAATATTCTTGGGTTGATGATGATTTAACAGAGGAACTAAAATAAACTCTATTTTTGACTTATTTATTTGCTAATCTGATCTTCTTTGGGAAAACATCTCATTGAGTCATGGGGGATTTTTTTGTTGTTTTTGATGACTGAGAGGCATTAAAAAAGGAACAGCCATGTTCCTGCTGTGTTTTTGAGGTTATAAGGAAACCAGTGGTCATCTTTAGTGACTGTTTACTCATGTGAAAGCGCAGCGGGATGTGACACATTTTGCTGCCTCTTGAAGTTGCATAGACATTTTTTTCCCCCCACAAATAAACAAAATGTGTTTTTAAAAATTCACCTATTCGCTCAGTCCTTGGTTTAAATCCCGGGCTGCGCTGTGGCCTTTGTGTGAGGAGTCTGCATATTTGCTCAGTGATGCGTCACTTTGGTTTTAACCCGGAGTCCAAAAACATTTATGTTCGCTGGAAACATCACATATAGTTAGTTGCAGTAAAAGCTAATGGCTATGTGAGTTAAACACTGACAGACAGGGACAAGTGTATCACTGTTTGATAATTACTATCTTGTTGTTGTTGTTTTTTGTAGGAGCACTGTTCATTGATTTGAGGATACTTGAGGCAAAGTTGTGATCAGCTCAACGTTAGACAGAAGTTAGCTCCGCCCATCAGCCATTTCCCAATCATCTAGTTGCCAGAAAAGTGAAGGTTGGTAGAGCGCCTGCAGAACTTTCCTCCAATGCTTTTTGTTTTCCTGAAGTTAATTTGCAGTGACTTTAAGCAAACCTTCCCTTAATTTTCCTGCAAAGCCCACCTACCTTCCTCTGTTTTCCCAGCCAGCCGCAGCCGTCGGCATTGGCAAAAACACGCTGTTCCCGGCTAAAAGCATCAATTTTTACTTTTATAATGAAAGCCTGTAGTAAATATAATTACTTTCAGGCAACAGTTTTTTTTTCTTTCTTCTTTCCCTGGTTTTGTTTTTAGTTATAGTCTTCAAAATAACTGGAGTGGCACTAACCCAGTTTGCCTTTGGTTGGAGAGGCCAGTCACAGACTCTGCCACTGCCCACTGAATAACAGGTCAAAGGTGACTTTTGCTAATTTTCCTCATTAACATTGTCAGCCTGTTTTCTCTTGAGAGGGTAAAACACCCTGAAGCGATACTTCCAGAAACTGACACGTAATTCTGTCACAGTTCACACGCACACACACACACACACACACACACACACACACACACACACACACACACACACACACACACACACACACACACACACACACACACACACACACACACACAACAGATGTTCTAAAATACCATAATAACAACAGAGGCAGGCTATGAAATCCCCTTTGAGAGTTTGATTGCTTCACCACATAAGTTTTCACAGAGCTTTTAGAGAGGAGACAGCAAACAAGGAGCTATACGGTTTCAGGAGCTGGATGTGATTACATCAGGGAGGCGCAGACAGACAAAACAGAGGGAGGGTTCATTTTAAACCATGTTCTCTTGCTTGAAGGTTTTGCCAACACAGAAACTGAAAGCGTGCTTCGCTGTGGCCCGGCGTGAAAAGTGAGGGGAAGTGATGTGTGAGAACTGCAGCAGCCAGAATGCAGCTGGGAATTTTGCCTGGAGTGTGGCAGGCTGGAGATCTGTGGCTAAAAGCAAAACAAGCATAAGGAAGAGATGAGGAGAGAGCAAGGGGGGCGGAAGTTTGAAGCTGGGATGGTGTGAAGAATGAGGCTGGAGGAGGTAAGAGAGGAGTTAAAAAAGGAGGAGACAGGAAGATGACAGAAGAGGAGAGCTTTGCCTTATAGGGAAAACAGAAAAGATCAACAGAGCATTTCACAAGTTTCTATACAACAGTTTGCATGCATGTGAACTCAGCACTCTCAATCTCACGTCAAAGCGATGCTTCAAGCTGGATGTGTCTCTGCTGCTGCTAGAAAGACTTCAGTGCAGAAACCTTCCAGCTTTGGCTTCAGCGTCTCTCTGCCTGGGATCTGAGTCTCTGCATCTTTGCTGCACCCTCTGTCTGCCAACCTGTGATTTTATGTGTGCATGCTCACACCCACAATGTTGCAACACTAGACAGTCATAAAAGCAGCTCCTCCTCATACGCAGCAGGTCCCTGGAAGCAGCTGAGCTGTCAGTGCCTTGCTGCAAACGCACATGCCTGCTCTCGGCCCCGAGCTCCCCGCTCTTTTTTTTTTTTTTAAGTTCCTGCCAAAGGAGGAGGATGGAAAGTGTGGCTGGAGAGAAGAGACAGAAAGCAGAGAGAGAAAGCTGAGCAACTGAGAGGCGAGGACGATCTGACAGCTCCGATCTGACTGCTGACTGGAGGATCCCTACAAGTGATCCCTTGCTTTTGGGTCAATCCGGACTGTTGGTGTTCTCGTAAACTGTTTAATTTCCTCTCTCTTCTTTTGCCTCCACCATGCGAAGAGACCGCTTCCTGCTGGCTGCAACCCTTGCAGCCCTTTTCTCTGCAGATTTCTACTTCATCCTTCTGCCAAAGCTGCAGAGCAGGAGACACAGAGCGGCAAACAGTTGCTCATGTGGTCCCGACACCAACCTCAGCCTCCCCAGGTTGGAGACTCTTGCCACCCCACAGCTCTCCAACTGGACTCACGCACCTCTGTCTAGTGCTGCGACGACACTTGAACTGGATGATGGAGGCTCCAAGCTGCAGAGGCTGTTCTCCCACCCTCTCTACAACATCCAGACGCCAGAGTTGAAGCCAGAGGAGAAGCTGCTGCAGGTGAAGCAGCTGATGGAGTACTACAGGAAGAAGGTGTCGCACTGGGAAAGGTCAGGTTCTAAAGCAACTTCACGCAGGGCATTAATGAAAATCCAAGTTTATTTTTGTCGGTGCAGCTCTGGGAGCACGCGTTGTGGCATGCTGCGGTTTGAGAGGCAAGGTCAGAGTCAGAGCGGTCAGACCTCTCTGGGGCGCCTGGGAGCACACAAACAGAAGTGCTCTCTTTTTCCAAGACTCACACTCACTTTGGAAGTGCAGACGTCCAAACACGTCACTCTGACAGCATGTATCTTCTGGTCAACAAGGAATCTAATGTTGCTGAAACTTTTGCAAAATAATTTTCTGAAAGATTAAGCCTTCCTTCAAAGTTTGTTTGTTCCAAATCTGCCAGTGAGATTCAGATTTTGGATTTTGTGAGGCTTTGGAGAACCAGCAGCAACCTCGAACCGTTACACATTTTGTCATGTTTGTCACATTTTGATGCTTATAGTAATTAGTGTGAAACTGTAAAGTGAAAGGATCATTTGCCATTGTAACAGATGAACCACGTCAGGTGGTATGTTTCGGGTCAGTGTCCTCTCAATGCCAACCAGATGATGTCAGAAGAGATTATGTACTTAGAGAAGATGTCTAACATCTTGCTGAATGACGCACGTTTTCCCAGACACTTCAGTCTGCTCTGTTCCTTCTTGATCCTGCTGCGTCTCAAACCACCTGTTGCCCAGGTGAACACCTCATTTCTTCTCCTCGACCACTTCCACTTCTTCTGCAATGTTGGAAATGGGGCTTGATGTGTTTCTGTTTCACTCTCATTCAACGCCAGGCCCCCCAGCGGCCCACCAGCTCTCTGTACTCAGCTGCTTGTTCATGATGGCCGTAAAGTCATGTGAGGGTCTCTGCAGACGACAGGATTCTGTTCTATGCTGGAAGGCTGAACTGTACAAAGTGAAAAGGAACGGTGCGAGTACAGTGCCTTGTGGTGCTCCAGTGCTGCCGGTCAGACAAACACACACACACACCTTCAGTCTTATAAAACCTTTGTGAGGAAGTCACAGAACAAGCAGTTGTTGGATCAATAACTGATCTAGTGATCCGCCGTTCTCTCAATGCTCTGCCTGGGTTGTTAGTGCTTAAATGGATCTAATCTGTTTACCATGAATCTCATATTTCCTATTGTTGTGAAAGACATGACTTTAATTTTCAGTCAAGTTTTTACCATTTTCTTTTTGCTTTTTCACAATTGCTTCTGTCACTTTGTACCGATGGACCATTTGTCCACAGGGACATCTTCCTGCTGGAGACGTTTCAGCATGGAAGTTTACTGAGTTACAGCAGGAAGAGGAGCTGAAAGAGTAAACTTGGTTAAAGGTTTCAGCTGAGCTGTCTTTGGTAAAGAGTTTTGTTCTAATATCTCTCTGGGTCAATGAACCAGCAAAACTTTCCCAGTTGACAGAAACATGATGAAATTGGGCAACATGGCATTACAGGTGCTGTGGTAGCAACTATTTGTCTCCAAAGAGACGGGTAGCAACACAAACATATCCAACTCAAAAAGAACCAAATTGAAAAAGAAAAATTAGATTTAGAACGACGACGATGGAAGGATTCATTTCAGTTCATGCAAGAAACTGGATCCATGATTTGGATCATGACAAAACATAATTCAGATCTTTTTCTCAATTTAAAAGAAATGTGAACATTATGGTGAAGCGATTTGGTGTTGAAATAAGCTGATGTTCATTTTTTGTGTCTTCTGAGCTGAAGAGCTCATTTTGTCTTCTGTGAATGGGGGCGAAATTAAGGTCATACTTCTTTCTGCTCCTTTTTATTCGTGATTTCTTTTTATACCTTCATTCACACTTATTATTGAGTTAAAAAAAAGACATGAAAATAATGAAATACAAGGTCTTTCCAGCAGCACAGCATCCCAACGCTGCAGTTCTACCAACAATCCCCTGCATTCACCTGCATCCAGCATGATGCTGTCACCACCAGGTATCAGGCTGCACATGGTAGGGTTTTTGTTTTTTGTTTTTGTTTTTTGCAGCTTTAGTTTTCTGTCACTGGCAGCATTTTATATGTAGGGCAAAAACTTCAAACTGGATCCAGTTTACCCAGAGCGCTGTCCTCCAGATAGAAAATAAAAAGTATTTATCAATCCTGTGTGTTTCACCTGCATCTCAACTCTGCTTCAAACACACGTTTTGTCCAAACTCTGCCCAGCTGTCTTGTTTACCCTTTGGGTTGCTAGGTGACCGGGTGGCCAGCCTGACATGCAAATAAACATGAACTTCAGCCCTTTGCTCCGTTATCTGGGTTTGTTTGGAGCCTGTGATGGAGTTTGTTTGAATGTCCAGCTGGCTGGACGGTTTGGACCGGGTTCTGTCCCTCTGACCCCTGCATTCAGATTATTACTGGCTCATGCTGTAGCTAATAAAATAACAAAAAAATCTGCCATATGAAAATGGCAGATTTGTTTGAATGGACTAAAATTAAAAAGATAAGTTGATATTTTTTCATATAACTTGACCAGACAATGTCTTCTATTACTGTCCACATGATCAACTATTTGCTTCTAGTGCTGTTCTGCTGTTGCAGTTGGTGACTGTGGCTCTGTTGATAACGAAGTTGTTTTTTGATCGGAAGGTTTTAGGTTCGATTCCCTGAGCAAGGCACTTAGCCCCAAATTGCCAACCGATCTGTGTTTAAATGTGTGAGTGTTTGTGAGAGCGAATGTGTGACTGTATATATTTATTTTTTGTGTAAAGCGCTTTGAGGCGTCAAAATGACTGGAAAAGCTCTATAAGTTCAGTCTGTTTACTTCTCCTGCAGGCTCTTATTAATTCCTGTCCGTCGTCTGACTCTCTGCAGACGAAAGAAGCTCTTCGTAGAGGCGGCTACTCTGACCAACGTCTCGCTGATGGAGCAAAAGATGACTTATGATCCGAACGCCAGCTGGCTGAGGTTCCACCTGGGAATCAACCGCTACGCCCTGTACGCCCGGGACGACCCCGCCATCCTCCAGCTTCTCACCGACATGCAGAACATGACCATCGTTGGCGCAGGTGAAGAGAAATAAAAATGAACGGATGAGTGGGAGGGAGCCATCCATCACTGGTTCTGAGTTTCAGTTTAACTTTATTGGACGTAGTGTAACAAAAGAATAAATAAAGTTACATACAGAGAAAATAAGCAAAAGAAGAACAGCAGTGAAGTATATTTACACGTTTAATGGAGTGAGTAGAAGTATGAATTCATTTTTTGGGTTTTAATCTTTTTTTCTTCTTCCAGATTACACCCAGGATGAGAAAGCGCTAAAAGGAGCGTGTGACTGCACTCAAGGTTTGTGCAACTCTTCACTGCTGTCATCCAGAGCATGTAGCTAAAACATCAAATCTGACATTTCCATACTGAATGCAATTTCTGATTTAATCTGTTTGCCTCGCCTCTTTCCTTTCTCCTCTTAGAAAGACATGATAAGTGACAGAACATTTTAATATTATTAATTTAAAGTCCATATGAATGCAAACTCTAAAATGCGTTAGTTCAACTCACCCTGGGTGGGCTGACATCACTCTGAAATATGTAAACCCAGGAAGTGCATTGATAAAAAAATAAATCCAGATTTTTCCAAAAGTTAAGTCACAAATAAACAAATTGTATTAATGGATCAAGGGGACTTATCGCCCAGCCTTGGGCTCTTTAGTCCTGCATGTTAAGTTATTCAGCTCGACCTTTTTGTCCTCATTGTTTCCCGTTTGTCTCTTGTCGTCTCGCTGCTGTTTGGCACCATCTCACACTAACACACTGACACACAAGTGTCTTTGTATTCATCAATGGATGAATACAATTCTTTTGACAGAAAAGGGTTCAGATTGGTGGTTTGTGTCGGACGCTCAGCGCTGAGCAAAGACACCAAAACGCTGGTTTGTTTCAGAGGCAGAGTCGCTTCCACTACTACTTTTCCTCTAATATATTAAAAAAAAAAACTGTTAGAGCTTCACTGTGTAACTTTTACAAAAAATATTTGTTCAAACTGTCAGCATATAGAGACAGTGTAATATGAGGGAGACAATCTGTGAAAAGATGGATCTCCTCCACTTCTGTAAAGTTACACACTGCAGCTTTGATGCAAAGATAGTCAGAGATCTTGAGCTACTATTCCACCCCATTCAGTTGGAAATATGAGAATGACATGTAAAAAAAAAAATCTATTCTCAGTGTTTTTGTCCCATTTATGCCACACCAGCATCCCTGCACAATAAAGCGGGCGACCACACAAACCCAACTCCCTGCCAGAGAGAAATAAACACCAGAACAATCTGCAGATTCTGTTTAAATTTAGGCTGCACTATAGGCTCTTGTTATTTCAGGCGCAAATACCGACACAGTTCATCAGCTGCAGCTGCTGGTGGAAAATGGTGAGCCTCTGATTCCGCTCCCGAACGGTTTTGAAAGTAAACTCTGACTGATTGTTAACTAATAATACCCTGGAGCTCGGTGGAGCGCGGCGTGTGGTTAGTGCTGCTGGCGCTGTAATATACGGGCTCCACGGAGCGGCTGGATGACCAAACACCAACTCACTTTATCACACAGAGAGCGAAGAACGACGCTGATTTACAGACGCTGAGTTCAGGTTGACCGAGCCAAAAGCCTAAACACAATATAATAAAACCTATTCACACCATTGGATGTTTTACCCTATTGTTACTTTTGTAAATCAATCATAATCAAAAGAGTTTAGATTGTTTGACAAAAAAATCACCTCCAGTGTCAAAATGAAAACTGAGTCTGAAAAAGCTGAATTTTCTTACCATGGAGTCTTTTCCCATGTGTCTTTCCAACAGTTAGCATCTGTGTGCATTACACATGTTCACAAGTCTGAATTCTACTGATATAGAATCAATACAATTGCACTGTTTCCATTAAGTAAGAAATGATGACATGTATTCAGAATTCAGCCATGTCTGCTGAACCTTGGAACTCCTTCAGCGTTGCCATGGTGACCCGCTGTGTCACCATGGCACAGCGGGTGCCATGGTGACACCCGCTGTCACCATGATCTCCCGTTGTGATGTCATCAGCCTGTTGCATGACGCTGTTGCATTTTCCTTCCACTTTTTGATGAATGAACTCAAAGAGATGTTCAGGACCTTAGAATTTTTTGGTGTCCATCCCCTGACTTCTACCTTTCAATAAATCTTTCTCTGATTGGTTGGGAGTGTTCATTAGTTTTCATGCCAGAAATACTGATGAACTTCCCAGACACAGCTGTCTTTATGCTACGATCACTGGAGACAAACTCAATGCACTCAGCTGGACTCCAGTCCACTCAATGTGAGACTACTGGTACCAGTTGGCTGGACCTCTGTTGAGTTGGGTCGGTCCCTTTAATGGGGGTGAATGTTTATGTAATTTCTATTTTCATATTACACATTTCTATTTCATTGTCATTCCTTTGCAGAAATCAGTTTTCACTTTGACATTAAAAATTGTTTTTTTGCAATTCATTTCTGTCCAGAATACCAAATTATGAAGTAAAAGTAATTTTAAACTTGTTGTTTTAAATGTTTCAAAAGGCTTAAATAGATGACTTGCCTGAAGTATTTTTTTTTTTAATTAACTATAGTTTGAGGGTAAATCTGTTTTTTTTAATTCACATTAAAATCTCAAAACTCAAATTGAAAATTGTCGGTCAATGTTTTTATTGTTCCAGTACATGTTGACACATACAGTGATGTGAATTTTATTTTTTTATTTTTTTTCCGCTCATTAAGCAAAATCACATTTAAACAGCAGTGTGCCTTGAGGATCATAGTTGGGCAACTCTTCCCTGAAAGACAAAGAGTGAGCCAAAGCAGAGGACAGTTCATGTTTTATAAGGTCTGATTGGCTTGATTAGCTCTTTTTCTTATAAGAAACCATCATCTGAAAGCTGCAGTTTGTCTGATATGGACTTTTATTAAATAATCTGAAACATGAAAACAAACAGCAGGAGTCTTTTATGGAGTAAATCACCTTCTCCCTGTCTATCTTGCAGTGGTGAAACCGAGCGGCCATCACCTGAAGCTGGCCCTGAAGATGAGCAACTTTGGCAAAGCGATGTTCAAACCGATGAGGTGAGGTGATGAGTGACATGGTTCATTCTCCATGATGCCCTGCAAGAGAAAACAGACTCGGAGGCGTTCAGGGTGTGTTTGGTCTGCGAGAAATTAAATAAATCACAGCAAACACTGTGACGCCATGTTCTGTCTTAATTTATATCTGGTTAAATTATCCAGTAGGCCAGGAAAATTACAGTATTTGTCTTGTTGATTATACACTGCAGACTAATTTGAGTGACATCTTTATTGGTGTGTGTGTGTGTGTGTGTGTGTGTGTGTGTGTGTGTGTGTGTGTGTGTGTGTGTGTGTGTGTGTGTGTGGGTGTGTGTGTGTGTGTGTGTGTGTGTGTGTGTGTGTGTGTGTGTGTGTGTGTGTGTGTGTGTGTGTGGTGTGTGTGTGTTGCAGGCAGCAGAGAGATGAGGAAACTCCAGGGGACTTCTTCTACTTTGTGGACTTCCAGAGACACAACGCGGAGATCGCAGCCTTCCACCTGGACAGGTGAGGCCACAACGTCCAAACGGTTTCTGTCCTCCGGCATTTTACACAGTGTGTATAACAAGTGTGTAGTTTACCCTTTATGTTGTTTTTGCAAATCATTCTATTTTTTGACACCAAAAAAACAAACAAACAAAAAAAACTAAAAGAAATCCCTTCAACTCATTTACACGAAATATCGTCAAAAATCTTCATTTGTAATCTGGGAGTGAACTTTAAAGAGTTCATAGTCTTCACATTGATTGACCGAATTCAACCGATGTCCTGCCAATTGGTGTGGACAATCTCACATTATGTCACATTAGCTGTGTTTTTGTAATTGCCCAAATTTATCTGGTTCCATGACAACACGAAGACTAGGGAACATTAGAACCAATCAGAGAAGAGCTTACTGAGAAGTAATAGTCAAGTGATGGAGATAAAGAACATGATCTCTGAGGCCATGTCTTAAGGGGACGAGTTCATCTCACATTGGAAGAATATTGGGTTGGACCCACATTCACAGCCAAATGTCAAAGTGGGAAATATATGTATGATTTATACCAACTTAGATCTGTATCTAAAACGAACTGAAGGATTTTTCTTCTGTCTTGTGTTTTTTTTTTTTTTTTTTTTTTTTTTGTGGAATTTAATTTTTATAAACCTCAGGCGATGTTTAAGAAAACAAAGGAGCAACAGTGAGCCTGCTGGGGCCCATCTGGCTGTCTGTTTGAGTTGTGATGATGCTTCCCCCTGCAGCGTGCCGCCCTGGGTGGTGAGCTGCACTGGCCATATAAATAAATAACACTTCTTCTCAGAGTTGCCAGTATTTCATCTGGTCCATGTGGAAGTGGAAGACGTGTTTGTGTTGCGTTGAGAGGCAAAAAGCAAAAGCATTATCAGGCGTTCTGAAGCCGCATGACCAGCAGGTTTTGACTGAACGGCTCACAGCTTTAAACTAGTTTTCCAGTTTTACTAAAATAAGCGAGTTTTGATGGGTCCTGTGTGACAGGACCCATGGGTCCTGGTTTCTGTAAACAGAAATCAGGAGGAGTTGTCAGTTTGATGATATCTGTGTTTAAGTCAAAGCTCAGCTGATCCCACTGCAGCCAACCGCTTATGTGGCTTTCAGAAAAGATTGCAACGTTTCTCCACAGCCCAGGATTTCCCAACTTGCTGATCAGAGTTTGTTTGCAGACTTGACACACGCACACACTCACACACACACATCTTTAAACGGTTGCACTGTGAGCTGAGGTGAGATGATTCACTCACCAGAAATAGTCATCTGTGTCAGACGGTGTGATTAAGGAGCCATAAGTGGTGACAGACGATCAGTCAGAGCAGGAGGAGCGGCTCAAACAATAACTATAAATATTGCCCATATGTCAGAGTTCAGACATATTAAAGTCTAGAGGAGGATGGTCTGCACCTTCTGCTCTGTTTCTGCCCTGGATGAGGCGCAGTGCGCCACGCCTTGTTGTGTCTGACTCGGCTCTCGTCGTTATCTTTGGCAATGGGGGATTGAGGGACAGCGGCAATTTTAGAAGCAGCAATTCAGCTTCACACACTGGATTGCTTGATTACTGTTTGTGAAACTTGAGTGAAATACGGGCCCTGCAGGGATTCCAGGCTCTTGCGTTTGTGGGCGTGTGTTTGTGTGTGTGTGTGTGTGTGTGTGTGTGTGTGTGTTGTGTGTGTGTGTGTGTGTGTGTGTGTGTGTGTGTGTGTGTGTGTGTGTGTGTGTGTGTGGTGTGCATGTGGTGTGTGGTGTGTGTGTGTGCACGTGTGTGTGTGTGTGTGGGATGTGTGTGTGTGTGTGTGTGTTTGGGGGGGGGGGGGGGGTCTGCACTTGTGATGAGAATCAGTGAGATGAAAAGATTAGGCAGAGCATTTACTGAGGTGAATCTGCTGATACATGCATGGAAAAATAGTTTGTTGCGTTACAAAATGTTATGGAGGACATTGTGAAATTAATTTAAATGAATGCATGCTTTTTAACATCTTTTGACAAATAAGAAACCTAAAACCCGTGGCAGGCATTTATATTTTGCTCCTGTGTCAGAACTTTTAAACCCAAATTTTGCAGCAGTTTGTATCATTTCTACTGTTTACAACTTGTACCATTTTTCTTTTCCTTTTGGGTTTATAAGGATGTATTTTTAAAATAAAGTTCATACAGAGCATTCATAAACATTAAACCTAAAGTTCTTCCACATGTTTTCAATCGATTTTAGGTCTGGACTTTGACTGAGCCAGATCATTTAAGTTTTGATAATTATTACTTGAGCAAATCTGATAAGATATGCTGTAAGAAATTGTGGATTGTGGTCATTTTAGTCAGAATAGAGCAGACTAAACATAAATATATGGAATAATTTTCAGGTTTTCATTTGAAAACTGCTTTAAAAAACAAACAATTTTTCTTCCACTTCTCTTTAAGTTGGTTTAGCATAAAATCTCACTGATGTAATTTATCAGTTTGTGGTTCCAAGATGACAAAATTAGAAAAACTTCAATGTGAATACTTCAGAAAGAAACTTTATCTGATTGAGGTTTTCTTTTGAATCCTGGTTTCTTCAGGATCTTGGACTTCCGGAGGGTTCCGCCGGTGGCCGGCAGGCGAGTCAATGTAAGCGGAGAAGTCCTCCATGTTGCCCAGACCGAAGACCTGCGGGCCGTGTTCTTCACCTCACCAGGTCAGCCGGGGTCAGGGTGTGTTGATTACTGATCTACATTAAGAAAAAACAGAAGCTGTCCTTATTAGCTTCTTTTAACACTCAGACGTTTCACCGCGTAGAGCGTGATTGTGATGTAACATAACAAACATGGAGGATTCAACATTTTTAGGAAGCAAATTTGCTTCATGGAAACATGCTACTTTTAAAATAATGTTTTTGATATAAAGTTTTTGTGCTGGGATGAGGTGGTTGTTCAGCCGCATAGAAATTAGTGTAGCTGGCAAAACTGCAACTGAAACACATTTTCACATCTAATGAGTCACATAATCAACAGCAGGTTGTTACTACTGGAGGAAACGACGAAGAAGACGAAAGGAAGGATGACGCTGCGGCGTTTGTTTTTTTTAATGACTCATCATGTGAACAAACTTATTCATGTCTGATTTTGACTCGGTTTGTTATCTAACAGAAACACCACAATTTGGAAATTGTGTTCTGTCAACATTAGCAGAATGTAGACAAAGACTTCCTCACATTTGTAAAGGAAACGCAGCTGCAGTTCGATCCGTTATCCACAAATGGATGAAGCTGAACACAGAGCGAGTCCTGGGCGAAAACATGTCAGCTTCAGGGTTTGGATCAAAATAAAACATTCACATGTCTTGGAATGGCCTAGTTAAAGTCCGAAGCTATGTTGGCAGATAACAACAAAAAAAAATCAGTGAATATTTTTAAGACACTGTACATGAAGATGGTAAAATATGTATCTCACATATCAAACTCTTTTCTTTAAATGCAGCTTTTGCTCTGGGTTTTTTATGAATGAAACCATAAAGCAATAAAACTATCATAAACAATAACTCGATATCACACAGTAAACATTTTGCCTCAGCAGGATTCATGGTGCTGATCTCTGGGGATTTTTCACTCTGGTTTTGCTTCTCCAACAGCAAACAACACGTGTTTCTTCGCCAAGTGCCTGTATGTGTGTAAGACGGAGTACGCTGTGTGTGGGGCCCCCGACCTGCTGGAGGGCTCCCTGTCCGCCTACCTGCCGGGCCTCACTGTGGCTCCTCGCCTCTCCATCCCAAATCCATGGAAACGCTCCTACACCTTCTCCGGACGAGAGGAGTAAGAATCCAGCTGCTCCCAGTTCTGTAAAGCACTGGAGGTTATAACATTCATGAAGCAGAACATTTAGCAACACATTAAATGTTCTGTGTTAATATTAATAACATGTAGAAAAGATTTTCTAGGAAGTAAAACTCAGAAATGTCCATGTTTTGTGCTCAGATTCTTCTCATGTCTCTGCATTGCTTTGCAGGTGGGAGGTAAATCCTTTCTACTGCGACTCCGTTAAACAGGCATATCCTTATAACTCTGGCAACCGCTTGCTCAACATTATAGACATGTCCATCTTTGACTTCCTGATAGGTGAGTCATCAATGCATCAACTGTTCCTGTCTTTGTCCAGTTTTTAATCTAATACGTCCCCGACTTTTGTTGTTTCTTTTTAAATCAGGTAACATGGACAGACACCATTACGAGATCTTTACCAAGTTTGGAGATGAAGGATTACTTCTGCACTTGGACAACGCCAGAGGGTGAGGATCGGGTTCAGAACCGGGCCCAGACCGGGCCCAGACTGTTTTGGTCCTGACTTTGATTTGAGTTGGTGCCAGACTCAGTGTGACTGTCAGCAGTCTCATGGTTGTCAAATTTAAGGCATTAAATTACAAAATTACATTTGATATTTAAAGCATTTTTATAACAACTGTCTTATATCAGTAAGTCTTCTATCATATGACATAATAACGCCCCTTTAATAATTGCTCCCCGAACAAAAATTAATTAAATCATAATTTCAGATTTCATTCTGATTGCACAAACAGGAGCATTTCTACTGCGTTTTGCTTAGCAGGGGAGTCCATCAGTTAATATTCACAAGAACAGAATATATAGACTGGTCAAAATATTTATGTCTGCATACAGGAGTCTCGCTCAGGGCACTAGTCACACAACAACTGCTTTGTCTGGTCTTTTAAATGCTAAATAAACTTGCTTTTATGTATACAATATGTAGAAACTCTCAGATTAAAATATAGAAGGGGCTGCCGTGGTGGCGCAGGGGTTCAGCACCACAGAGAGGTCTCAATGCGACCATCGCAGGTTCAAATCCCGGCATGTCGTCCCTCTCTCATTACCCACTTTCCTTTAAAAGGCCGTTAGAGCCAAAATACTTGATATATACATGTAGAAGGAGTTTGTTATTCATAAATGTAAAAGCAAATTTGACGTTTTGAGATGAATACTCTTAATGAGAAGTCAAGCACTAATTGGGCTCCCCCTGGTGGCCTGGGGGTCCTAACCAGCAGCTAAGTTTGCTTCTGCCTAAGGCCGGCTCTGAGCGTTGCTCTGTGTAACGCCACATGTTGTTCGCAGGTTTGGGAAGCATTCCCATGATGAGATGTCCATCCTGGCTCCACTGTCTCAGTGCTGCATGTGAGTTCTGCAGATCAGACGAGCAAAACGTTCCTGTCGACTTTGATTAACCCAAACCACCTCATGGATTTGTTTTCTCCTCTTCTTTTTAGGATAAAGCGTTCCACGCTGCTGAGACTCCAGCTTTTGGCCCGACCACGCTTCAGACTCAGCGATGTGATGAGAGAGTCTCTGGACGGGGATCCTTTAAGGCCGGTGTTGACCGAGCCCCACCTGTTGGCGCTGGACCGCAGGCTGCAGAAGGTCCTGCGGGCGGTGCAGCGCTGCGTCCGGCGGCTTGGCCAGGACCAGGTCATCACTAAGGACTTCACAAGACCCACAGCGACTCCTCAGAGCGCAACGCAGAGGGAAAACAACAGGTAGCTGAGGACTGAGATGCTTCTGGTCAACAGAAGCTGCCTGGGATGACCTGCAGTCACCATGGAAACCGAGGAGGATCAGACTGGAGTTGAAGGAACAAGATGTCAGGAGATCCTTAAAGAGAACTCGGACAAAGACGGAACCACGACAGGACCGAGCAGAGTTTGAAACTATTTATCATTTAAATTAAGCTAAACTAAAACCGCCATCATAAACACACACACACACACACACACACACACACACACACACACACACATACACACACACACACACACACACACACACACACCACACACACACACACACACACACACACACCATCATAAGCAACAGAGACACAGGATCCTCATCATACTGGCTTCTCTGGAAAAGATGAGAGAAAAGCCTTAAAATGCAGTAGTCCTGTTTTTTCTTGCAGTAGCAGAATTTACATCGACACATTTGAAAATTCTACCTTTAATATTAATCCATTTATTCTTGTGGAAAAAAAGAGATCCTATTTTGACAAATCATGAATTTTTAACTGAATCCTTAAACCAATTCTGTAAAAATAGAGAAAAAAAATCTCAGTTTTAATTGTAGTTAGCCTAATAACATAATAGGACTTAAGCAATTATGCTGTTACTTTAACAATTTGTTTTCCTTAGTTGCTCAAAAAAATGTTAATTAGTAATTCATGACTTCCTGTTTTCCATGGAGCTATTTGGCAACAATAACTGGTCTAGTCTGAACTTGGACACACAGTTTGGGGTCCATTAAAAAATCTGACACAACCAGAAGTTTGAGTCTAGACAAGAACACGTGTTCATCAGGAGGCTGTGCACAGCGAGCTAACGCTTCCTGAAAGGTCAGAGAACTTGAGGTCACCTGAGGTCACCAAGCCTCCATAAGAGAAATAACACACCATCTCCATGCCAACCAGATGTCATAATTCAACTCTTTCTCCACTTATTAAGTGCACTGAAATTAGAGGTTTGAATTAGGCCCGAGCAGCTAAGCGCTGCGAAGGCCTATTGTTTTCCTATTGTTTATTAGGCCCGAGCAGCTAAGCGCTGCGAAGGCCTATTGTTTTCCTATTGTTTATTATTATTATTATTATTATTATTATTCTTCCACCCAAATGAATTGGCTTTTTGGGGGCTTTATCATATTCAAAACTCACCAAACTTGGCGGAGGCCTTAAGCCTGTTTAAAATTTACGTATTTTAAAGTCGTCGCAAAAATTGCAACAGAAATGGCTCTACGGCGCCACCTAGAAATTGTAAAAACACCCTTTTTTACCCTCTGCTATTCACTTACTTTATCGTAGAGACATGAAATTTGGTACACTTGTAGAACTCCCCAAGACGCTCAAAATTTACAATTAATGTCATAGTGCAAGTATCACAGGAAGTCAGCCATTTCTGATTGAAGTTCCCATTTTGACCCTATTTTTGCCGATTTTTTGCCTTTTACAGCCTTTGTATTTGATCTATCTCCTCCTAGGGATTTTGATTGATCGACTTCAAACTCGGTCAGTCTGTTCATAAGGCATGTCCCATCTAAAGTTATCTAAACGTGAGTTTTTGAGTATGCTGAAGGGGGGTTAGCAGGGGTCAAAGTTCACCTACTCGCCATAATAAATAAACTGCTATATCTCCTACACAGAAACTCACAGAGGCACCAAAGTTACTGTGATTGATCATCATCGGGTCTCCTACAATACCCTATGGTCGAATGATGACATCACTTAGGCCACGCCCCCTGAGAACAGGAAGTGTAATGTTTTACTGTGAACTGTCGCTATCTGACCCCTTTGACCTCATCAACATGAAACTGTGCCCAGACACAGAAAACATGTTGGTGTATTGAGGATTCCAACCCCGACCAGATTCGATGGAGCAGGTGGGCGTGGTGGCGTGGCGAAGTGACCTGTAACGCCATCGCCATACGTTTGGCTCTCAATTCCACATTTTCGGGCCAGCTGCTGCAAACTCATAAGGATGGACCCTCATCCACTCCCCAACAGGAATCCATCACAATATTTGGTGGGCGTAGCCTAATTTCTCTATAGCGCCCCCTAGAAAACTTTAAATGATCAGCCCAAGCCATGCTTTAACCTACAAATACGAAACTTTGTACACATGTGTACCTTGTCAGGACGTACAAAAAAGTCTCTTGGAGCCATGGTCTAAACCCCACAGGAAGTCGGCCATTTTGGATTCAAGTTCGGTTTTTGACCCCATTTTTGCCGTTTACAGCCTTCATATTTGATCTATCTCCTCCTAGGGATTTCGATTGATCGGCTTCAAACTCGGTCAGTCTGTTCATAAGGCATGTCTCATCTAAAGTTATCTAAACGGTGAGTTTTTGAGTATGCTGAAGGGGGGTTAGCAGGGGTCAAAGTTCACCTACTCGCCGTAAAAAAATAACTGTTATATCTCCTACACAGAAACTCACACAGGTACCAAAATTACTGTTGTTGATCATCATCGGGTCTACTACAATACCCTATGGTCGAATGATGACATCACTTAGGCCACGCCCCCTGAGAACAGGAAGTGTCATGTTTTACTGTCAATGGTCGCTATCTGACCCCTTTGACCTCATCAACATGAAACTGTGCCCAGACACAGAAGACATGTTGGTGTATTGAGGATTCCAACCCCGACCAGCTTCGATGGAGCAGGTGGGCGTGGCGGCGTGGCGAAGTGACCTGTAACGCCATTGCCATACGTTTGGCTCTCAATTTTATTTTTAAAGTTTTATTTTTTTTAATAATTTTGTTTTGTGGGTTAGAGTACAAACATTCATTAATTTTGGCTATAAATAATACAAACATCGTCATTCAGCAAAACTTTTATTGTGTTACTCAGCGGAGCTGAGTCAGTGTCACTGGTCAGTGTTGATGGAGTACGACTGGCCCCTGGTGGCGCAATAGTGGTACTGCTGGCGCAATACCATTATTGCGCCAGCAGGAGTCACTGGTACTCCATCAATGAGAAAACAGATCAAGTTCGGTTTTTTTCGGACGGCCGTGAAAACGTTTCCAGCGCGTCTGCCGTGAGATTTCCAAAAGGACAGCGATTACATTTAACCTGAAATGTTATATGTAAGCCCTAAGATAATTTTGTTGGCTTAAAACACGGAGTAAATGTAGCGTTTTGTTAATGACTGTTATTTCCTACCGCAAGTAAATGCATCATTTCCCTCGTCTCTGCCTTAATGGCCAGTCAAGGGCAAAAACAAATTTAAGCAATTTGATTGGTTGAGAAGGACTGCACGTACTGTAGCTGTGCTAATACTTACTGTAAGTACTGGCAGTCGGCAGGAGATCGTACATGGTTGAGGTTCGGCGCATTACGCTGTGGACTGTACATTTTTTTTTGCTAAACTGTTGGAGCAGCTAAGTTTTCCTGAACATTATGCCTGGTTTATGGAGCCACAGAACCGGACCACGCTAACGTTTGCTTCGGTTTTGGAGCTGCAGACCCGAATGACGCTCATGAGCCGGAACTGTCTGTTGGAGAGGAGTTTTATTGCCGTTCGTCTTAAAAGTGGTAACTGGAGATGCGGTGAGTGAAGCTCAGTTCACACTACACGATTTTAGAAAAGTCGGCCAATTCTGAAAACGTGAGAGAACACACACTAGCCTATTTAAAATCGTAGGTGTAACGGGTTCGTTCTAAGAGTGTGAGGTTTCACTCGAACACATTCTAATACCAGCTACGAAATACCTTCAAATTAAAATTCTGCACTACCACAGCTGAATTTGGAGTAAACAAACAAACATGGACAACGACGTTGAAGTGGTAACTTTAGTTTGCGGACTTATTTTAACCCAAAAAAGACGTAACCAAAAATCAAAGCTTTGGATTAAGAACTGGAGATATCGTAAGCAAGGATTATATTTGTTGCATCGCAACATGGAGGTGAGTTTTTTTTTCATAAAAAATACTGTTTTCAATGTTTTTAGAAAATCAAATGGGAGTTATCCTTTCTCCCCAACTGACCGCGAAAGCTTAACGTAGCCTATTCCAGCTCCTTTAATTGAAACTTATTATATTGTTTAAAATTGTATTATGACTGCAGAATAAAATCAAATGCGCCATTTCAACCAAAGATTGGAATGTGCTTCTCAACCAGATGTACTCTGTGCAATAATTTTATAATTATCTTTCATTAAAAGATAAAAAAAAAAAGTCGGAGGAACACCACAGAGATTGGATGAATGAGCAAAGATGATTAAAGACAGTCAATATCCCCGATTTTAGATCAAAGCGGTCCCGACGTTCCACCGACTGAACTCGATCAGTCGTAACACACCACACACTACAGGATGATCGGTTACGATTGTTTGGAGCGACAATCTTACAACGTTCTGAGTTCTTAAGACTGATACATTGGGGTTGTAATATTTACTTGGACCACTTGCTGTGATTAATACCTAATTATTGAGAGAGATTAAACCTGTGCTTTTGTTCTAATGTACTGAAAGTTAACTGTGCTCTCTGAATGTGCATTGCCCTCGGTTTATTACTGATCAGAAGGGTTTATTAAACTGATACATCTTAACCTTTACCATTTTCCTGACTCATTTTAGGAAAATGTTAAAGTTGCACTGCATTTAGATCTCAGTTGTAGTTAACATCAAGCATGTGGGCGTGGCTTAGTGTAAAACTTTCACTATTTGCCATGAAACATAAACATTAAAAAACTTCCAAATGCAAGATCACAGCTGCATCACACTTCCTGTGTTTCTCTATAGAACAATCCTGAACACATTTCCATGGTCACTTGATGAAATCACCCTAGCCCCGCCCACTTTTCAAAGGCAATCACCAGTTTTTTCTCCTGTGAGTTTTACTGTTATTCTATCATATATATGGGTTTCATCATGTGAATACTGACTTAAAACGACAAGATGATGAACTCTGTGAATGCTGGCTGCTGACCAAACCGCATTGGGGTGTAGAAATGGCGAACTGCAGTTCTTCACCATGTGCATATGATAGGCTCTAAATGATACGTTGATCATCCGACTGCGCCAAATTGGCAAATTGATATGTATGACCTTTGTTGACCTCTAAACACCCCAACAACATTGAAATGTATTTTGACTCCACTGCGCCAACTACATTAACACACCAGCTATATCTCCTCGCTATATCAACGAATCTGCACCACATTTTTTGTGCGTCGTCAGGAAGTGCCGCCGAACGCATCGATGCATACCGCCTGGTGGACGGGCGCGGAAACCGCGCAATGACTTCTGTGTTGGAACGTGGGGAGCGTTGATGGAATCGGAGCAACAGTTTCCGCGGTGCGGGCGGAGGTGCTGAAAACTGCTGAGAGTATCTGTGGTGGCTGGCGTCGGGCGGCGGTTGCTAGTACCCGGTGGCAATAGGCCGGAGCGGCGCTTGGCTGCGAGGGCCGCTCGAGGCTGCTTGCAGCTTTAATTATTATTTATTATTATTCTTCCACCCAAATGAATTGGCTTTTTGGGGGCTTTATCATATTCAAAAACTCACCAAACTTGGCGGAGGCCTTAAGCCTGTTTAAAATTTACGTATTTTAAAGTCGTAGCAAAAATTGCAACAGAAATGTCTCTACGGCGCCACCTGGAAATTGGAAAAACACCCTTTTTTACCCTCTCCTATTCACTTACTTTATCGTAGACACATGAAATTTGGTACACTTGTAGAACTCCCCAAGATGCTCAAAATTTATAATTAATGTCATAGTGCAAGTATCACAGGAAGTCAGCCATTTTTGATTGAAGTTCCCATTTTGACCCCATTTTTGCCGATTTTTGCCGTTTACAGCATTTGTATTTGATCTATCTCCTCCTAGGGATTTTGATTGATTGACTTCAAACTCGGTCAGTCTGTTCATAAGGCATGTCCCATCTAAAGTTATCTAAACGGTGAGTTTTTGAGTATGCTGAAGGGGGGTTAGCAGGGGTCAAAGTTCACCTACTCGCCATAAAAAAATAAACTGCTATATCTCTTACACAGAAACTCACAGAAGCATCAAAGTTTCTGTGATTGATCATCATCGGGTCTTCTACAATACCCTATGGTCGAATGATGACATCACTTAGGCCACGCCCCCTGAGAACAGGAAGTGTAATGTTTTACTGTGAACTGTCGCTATCTGACCCCTTTGACCT